TACACTGAGGGATTTTAAAGAGATGTAGATCACTAGTGTAAATGAATGTAAGTTCTGTTTATGCTTATGTTTTTGTATTGACGATGACATCCCAAATGTTTTAAAATGAATAAAAATACATTTCTTCGGAAATGCTTTGATAATGTATTTATCATGTTTTTCTGGGAACAAATTCCGCAACATTTTTATTAAAAGAAGTACTCTGATTTTCATAAAGCATAAACAAAAATCGGTCTTTTCTGGCCGTGAAAATGGGGATGTCACACAGATGCTCCTCATGCTGCTCCCTGGATGTCGAATACACCAAGATATCATCGATGAACAGGATCACCGACCGGTCTAACATAGGTCTGCACACCCGGTTCATGAGATCCATGAACATTGCCGTTGCGTTAATGAGTCCGAAGGGCATCACCACAAACTCGTAATGCCCATAACGAGTCCTAAAGGTTGTCCTCTGAATATCCTCCTCGCGTACTATCATCTGGTGATACCCAGATCCGAAATCAATCTTGGAAAACCAAGATGCCCCCTGCAACTGATCAAACAAATCGTCAATCCTCGGAAGTGGATAACGGTTCTTGACTGTTAGCTTGTTCAACTCCCGGTAATCAATGCACATCCGGTGTGAACCATCCTTTTTCTTGGCAAAGAGGATCGGCGCTCCCCACGGCGAGCTACTCGGTCGAATAAATCCCTTCCCCAACAGTTCCTGAAGCTGTGAGGATAACTCCTACATCTATGGTGGCGCAAGGCGATAGGGTGCCTTGGCAATAGGCGCCGCTCCTGGAATCAAATCAATCCGGAACTCCACCTGCCTCTCAGGAGGTACACCCGGCAACTCCTCGGGGAAAACATCTGCAAACTCACACACTATTGGAACCTCAGAGAAAGAACCCGGTCTCCCTGCAGTAACCCGCATATCCATCACATACGCCAAAAAGCCCATACAACCCCGCTGTAACCTCTGTCTCGCTCGGGCAGCAGAGCAGAAAGCTGATCCAGACCTAGTACCCTCGCCGTACACCATAAGTACTCCCCCACTAGGGTCTCTTATAGTCACTAACTGACGCTCGCAGTCTATCACAGCTCCAAATCGACTCAACCACTCCATGCCCACTATGACACAGTCATCACCCATAGCGATTGGTACCACGTCTATCGGAAACTTAACACCAAAAATCTCCAGCGTACACTCACGGATCACGTTAGTAGCAAAAACCGCATGCTCGTCAGCTATAGAAACCCTCAGAGGTCGACTCAATGCCTCACGTCGGATACTGATGTGACGACTAAAATCTATGGATACAAAAGATCGACTCGCACCCGAGTCAAATAACACCAAAGCAGGTACAGAATTCGCAAGAAAAGTACCTATGCACAACACCGTATAAGCACAAAGTATCTCAAAAGAATAGTAATATGAATACATACCGGCCACAACGTCAGGTGCTGCGCGGACCTCCTCCGTTGTCAGCTGAAAGGCTCTCCCACGAACCCTCGGTGTCTCGGCCTTCGTTGCCGTCTCTCAGTAGCACGCAAAGAAGCCGATGTAGATCCCTGTGTTGACCCCTGCACGAGCTGAGGGCACTCGGCCTTCCGGTGCCCGGTCTTGTTGCAATGGAAGTAAACCGAGAACCCCTTGGGGAAATCCTTCGCCATGTGCCCCTCTTTGCCACATTTGTAGCAAATCCCCACACGACACGAACCCTCATGGCTCTTACCGCACTTGCTACAAGTGCGGCCCTTCTGGCCCCCAGCTCTGGTATCAGCGGGCTTAGCCCTCTTTGTCGCCGTCTGCGACTGTACTTGTCTCTGGTCCCTACCCCAGGACTCCTCCTCCTCCCTGGTCTGCAGCTCAATCTCAATCTACCGCCTCCTGGCATTGGCCTGAAGCTCGGCCAATTTCCTGTACGATGAGTTCGCCATGAACTCTCGTATATCCCTCCTCAGTATGCTCAAATATTGGCTCACCCGTGCCTGCTCAGTGGACACGTGCTCAGGGCAAAACATCGCCCTCTCGTGAAACATCCTCGAAATCTCAGTCATTGACTCCGTCTTCTGCTTGAGGGACAGAAACTCTTGTGCCAGACGTTCCCTCTCCACCGGGGGAACATACTCGTCTCGGAACAACTGAACAAACCTCTCCCAAGTGAAGCTGGTTCAACACAAACCGAACTCTCAAGTGATCTGGGCATGAACATGTGTAAAAACACCCTTCAATATCAGAGATCCACCTCATCGCAACAATCAGATCCCGTGTCCCATCAAACTCTGGTGGCTTCGTGTTGCTGAACTCCCGGAACAACAACAAGTCACCTCCCTGTGGCCTAGCAACAGCGACAGCTGCAGTGGCGGCAACTGCATCAACCTCAGTGACAGTAGTGTATCGCTCATCAAATGTCTCAATCAGGGTGGTCTTGATAGACCCAAACATATCGGGAATCTCTGCTCGGATGGCTGCGACCACCTCCTCATGAATCATCCTCCGAATCTCATCATCACTAGTTCCACTGCCTCCAGGGTTGTGGCGTGTACCCACCATGATGCCTCTGAAACACAACAAAAAATCATCAGGTACTCGCTTGAGCATACTCACACTCGATCACCTATCCCTACTTGTTCCTTAGCATCCTAAGGATTCTTACTTGGGTTGCATACAGATCTGGTGTTTTCAGTAGTACGGGCCCAATACTACCTTCCACACCTGGCCTGTAGTCACCCCAAATCCTCCTCCTAGGATTCTAATTCCCAAGTACTCTACCTCTCTCAATATCAGACTACTATCGTCTCAGAATTCTCTCTCTAAGTTCTCCTACTCACTACTCTCATTAGCACATACTCAAAGCACATAACAGGTAACAACGACTCCTAAGCTAAGGCATCACAAATCAGCCAACCCTAGCCCTAAAATATGAAATACCAAGCTCATTCTCTATCATGCATCACTATCATTTCATAATTAACTCATAACACACCAAGTAAGGATATTTTGGGAAATCACCGTTCAGGCTCTGGCTGATTGTACACACTGCTCCATCTCGATTTCTCTTAAAACTCTTGCTCTTTTTAGAAAAATTCATTTCTTTGAAAAAATTTCCTCAAATCCTCAGTTTGAGTCCAGACATACCCGAAGGTGCATCCGAATCCCTCAAACCAAGGCTCTGATACCAACTTATAACAACGCAAATTTCGAACCAAAATTTTCAAATTTTAAAACTCGTTTTTCTCAATTCAAACATCTCAAAAGTGTTATAGTATCAAATCATCCAACACATATCCCAAAAACTGTATATATAACAAATCCAGGATCCTCTCAAGACATGACTCAAATCTCTGACGTGTGTACAATCAAGTCGGCGCCTTCCCGTGCCTGAGAAGTACCCGAAACACATAACACATAACACAGTAAGCACAAAGCTTAGTGAGTTCCCCAAAATACTGCTCATATCTCATCAGCCTCTCATGGCTATACTCAGATAAGACCCTCTGGTCAAATGTGTCTTAGTGGGACCCTCTGGTCCCATAACTCAGATGGACCCTCCGGTCCCTGAACTCAGTATCTCATTATAATACACAACATACATATCATAAAGACAAATAAGCAGGATATCTCAATACACAGTATATGCATGTAAGACCCTCCGGTCACACATAGATTACCACCCAAGGTAAGTATAGTGAGAAGACTCACCTCGTAAGTAAGCTAAGTGAATGAATACTCTCACACATGAATCACCAAGTCTAGCCTCTTGCTAAACACATAAGATAATCGTATCCAATTAACTCTTTAAATTATACTTCTACTAAATATCTCTCTCTCTCTCTCTCTCTTGAAGTGGAAAAGACCAATTTACTCCTTCCATGGTTTCCCAAAGACAGGGTTGACCAAACCCTAAGTCAACATAAGTCAAACTCGAGTCAACCGTCCATGTTGACCCTACTCGTCGACTGCACTCATGGGACTCGACGAGTCTACTCTCCATCCACAGAAACACTCAAAAGTATGGCTCAACTCGCTGAGTTGACCCGTCAACTCATCGAGTTGCTACACGATCAACACCATCGGGACAACCCCATCTGACTCATCGAGTCGGCTTCTTGACTCGGTGAGTCCATTCAGACTCATCTCTCATTCAGTCATTTTCAAGGTAGAGAACCTCCCCAAACTTTGGATCTACACTCTTATGGCTCATCTATCACGTAAAGTCACAGGCTTTACGCTCATGCATGGCATTTTGAGCTTAAAATGCCAAAACACACCCCAAAAAGGGTTTATCACTCAAGATCACTATTATGGTTGGATAAAGCAGGGACTTTTGGACTCTAGGGACCTCACATGGTCCATATCTGAAGTTCAACCCTCCCAATGAGCATGGAACACTCAAGGTCCTCATATTTGGGTGGAAAAACCCTAGATTCACAAAATCATGAAATCTATATAAAATAATGAGAAAGGTGTAAGCTTTGAACCTTTTCCAGAAGCTTTGAAGTGAAAACACCTCAGATCTAGCAGCACCCTCTTCTCCCTTGGCTTGGAAATCTTCTCTCCTCTTCACAAAATGCACCCAAACACTCACAATTAGCAAAGCACTCTCTCTCTCTAGGCTCAAAGGTCGTTTAGGGTTTGCTCTCAAGGAAGGGTAGCCGCAAATGAGGCTATAAGTGCCTTTAAATAGGTCGCAAACCCGGGGATCTAGGGTTTCTCGTCCCAGCGCCTACTCGACGAGTCTGCTCTCGGACTCGTCGAGTAGATCATTAAACTCACGTGGCCACACTCGCCTTTACTCGGCGAGTTATAGCACCAACTCATCGAGTAGATCAATGAACCTCAAATACATAATTAAAATAATATACCTGGGAATCCGGATGTTACATTTTACATAATTTTACAAAAGCCTTATATAATTGATACTTATCTTGTTACCCATGTCCCATTACGAGTTTAATTTCGCTCGCTTACCCACCAGCTGGGATTGTACACTGTATTTCCTCGCCTCCTCTGCCACCGTTACATCACCCTACTACGTATCTTCGTTGCCGATTCCATGCAAAAAGTCAGAACACCAGATTTCAGGTTAAGTTCTTAATACACGATGTCAGCACCCGATCAAGCAGCCTTCGCAGTCCTATCTCAAGTAGCCCTTGCCGCCGATGGCGCAGTACTTGGGTTAGCCTTAGCGTACATTGCAGTCCGCAGCGTCCTCAAGTTCAAGACGACCTCATCATCCTTGAACAAAGTCAAGAAGGCACCCTCTGTCAGCGTCTCCGATCTCCCTTCTATCCTCTCTCATCCTTCCGATCAAGAGTCAGATACGACTACTTTCAGTGATGAGAAGATCATCATCATTCGACGAGTCGTGGAGACGAAATTCATCGTCAATGGCGATTGGAAGAAACAAAACGTTTTGCTCTCTCATGAGTTTAACGAGAAATCTGTTATTTGGAGAGGATGCAAACGGTATATATATATTCCATATCTCAATCTTACTTTCTTTCACATTAAATTCTATCAAAATCTATTCATATGATGATATACAATAGTTTTCTGATATGCATCATCGGAACTAAGTATGCCCTCCAAAATTGATCAACTAAAAATTCAGAACAATTTGCTATGTTTGACTAATTGAACCAATTTCTGTTCATTTCTTATAAATCCTGACTTCTTCTATATCCAATTCAAAGTTTGAATAATCTTGAATTCCTGCAGTGTATATACAACGAATGGAGGGGATTTTTCGGATGAACTTCAGATTTTCGCTCCTTGTTTGCAAGACACTGGCAAGAGCAAGAATCTTCATCAATAAGAACGGTTACTTCAAAATTATTGATATTCTTTAAGTTGTTAACATAGAAATTATCATGATGTAGAGTCCATTCTTGCATGTTAGGTTTGATTTTAATCCATTAGTTTATGATAATGCTGGTTCAGTTCCTGTTGTCTATGATAATGCCACTTTAGTTTCAGAAGTATATTCATCGGTGTGTTTGTGGTGTAACATGAGACTATATGACTATTTGATTAATGAATTTTATGTGTAAATCTTATTTTATCAAGTGAATTTGTCAATGTGTTACTATAATATGATAATCTTCCTGTATAGGTTCCTTTTATCCTTGTTGATTGGGGAAATTGGTCAAAATCTGATTATCTAAAAGTAAACTTGGATGGGTCAAAGCATCCTTTACCTCTTAAAACTGTATGCCACAATTTGCAGCCTATAAGTACGTCTCCTTATACTTTCCTCCAAGCATTTTTCGGTCATGAGTACCCTGTAAGTACATACATGATTTATTACTTTGTCACTTGTTTTTAGGCCTTCATTTGATCTTAGTTTTTGTGTTTCTTTGTTGCTTATGTTGTAGGTCAGACTTCTGGATGAGGAGATGATTTTACCAGTTAGAAAGGAAATCACTGTCGTTGGTCTTGTCAGTTTGAAAAATGGAATTCCTAAAGTGATGCATGCAAGGATCTACCTTTCTTCTTGTGAGGATAGTTGTTATCAAGCTTTTCCATGATATTGTCTGAGAAATATTTTAATGACTTTATGTTGCTCTTGCAAGATCAAATATGAGCAAAGAACAGATGGTAATGGAACTTGATTTTAGGACAAAAATTTTGTTATGGAGTGGAGTTGTGATTGGTTTAGTGGTAACCGGCATCCTTAGATATGCTGTGACAAGGTACTAAAAACTTGAGTACAAGCTTGTGATATATTTTTACCATATGATTAAGTTCTCCAAATATGTATGTAACACCTCAGACGACAAACCAATATATTGTCCCCTTTGGGCAACCTGGTATGAGAATTTCCCAAGGGGTCACCACAGACTTTGGATATGTTGTGAGGCCAACAGATCCTATCATAACTTCGCAGTTTAGCATGTTTAGGTAAGAGTACAACAAGGATGGGTCATGACCCATTTGGAAGTTCACGTATCAGGTTGCCTAAAGTGGACTATTTCTTAGTATGTCTGTCTGGGATGTTACAAAATACTAAAACGAAGCTTTTTGTTTCGAGCGTATCAGGAATTAGAACAAATGGAAAGACTGGAGACAACGAAGGCAGATTGAACAACAAAATGTTGCAGAGGAAATAAGTGAGGCGGAAGGTGGTGTTGCAGCAGGGGAAGAGAGCGGTGGTGTTCCGGAGGGGCAGTTGTGTGTGATCTGTAGTATGAGACAACGACGGTCTGCATTTGTTCCTTGTGGCCATTAGGTTTGTTGTCCTAGGTGTGCCCTCTTGGTTGAGCAGGATTTCTCCCCCAAATGTCCATTTTGTATGCAAACAATTCATAGTGCGTTGAGGATTAGGGTGTAAACGAGCCGAATTAAGCCCGATATTACCCAAACTAATCTCATTTCGATCCCCAAAAAATAGAGCTCAAGCTCGCCTCTTAAACATTGTCACAACACCGGCTTTAAGAGGGTTAGCCGACTCTATAAAAAGCATATTTATCTTCCATTTTGATAGATTTATTGTGAATTTGTCAAAAACTTCCTTCCGACTTTAAATATGACTTATATTAGACCCAACCAATAAACTAAGGTACACCAAATGCAATCTATATGTGAATTTCCAATCAGACGCACAATCTCTTCTACATCTTTGAGCCTGGCTCCCACCATAATTAATTTTAATTTGTGTAATTAAGACCCTCCACCAAGATAAAAACATCTAAGAATTATGACCAAACCTTGTGTATTCTGAGTAAACCAGTCACATAAAACATCACATCATCAACATACAAAATGCAACAATAAAGACACATTTTTCTTTTACTTTCGATACTATTTTTTTGAAAGAGAATTTTACTTTCGATACTAAAGTGCTTTTAAATTGAAATGAAAAGAATGCTTGTTTTTAATGGTAAACCACACCATTGAACGACTTGCACAGAACATGTCTGTCACACCCCCAAACCAAGGATGGCGGAAATGTCCGGGGGTGGAGGACTTCATGTATAGTATCATAACAACAATTGTAATAGTAATTCAAGCAAACACAACCAACATATATATAATTGAAAAAGTTACATCATTGTATGAATTACATGTTTACGAATCAATTACAATATGTTGACAAAATATGAAATAGTAGACGCCTTAGCGTCCCATCCTCAAAAGCACTTGGTTACCTGTTTAATGATTTCCTGAGAATACAAGTTGTTTGAAAAAGTGTCAACACAAAGGTTGGTGAGTTCATAAGCTTTTGTTTGGTATTATTAAAAGCCTTTCGTTTGTAAAAGTAGTATTTGTTTTAGAAAAATCCAATATTTTCCTTAAAATGTATATGTAGTCTTAAATCCAAAGACCGAAATGTATAAGTAACTTTTCTTACTTATAATAAATAATGTAAGTTTAAATCGACATAAACTCGTTTAATTTTAATGAAGCTCCCGTAAATTCCAATATTCATTAATACTTTATGTGAGTTTATTAAAGTCTTTTCTTGTAAAAGTAGTGTTCGTTCCAGAAAATCCAATATTTTCCTTAATGTGTAAATGTAGTCTTAAAACCCCAAAGACCAAAATGTACAAGTAGTGTTCGTTCCTTATAGTAAAACAATGCAAGTTTAAATCGACATAAACTCGTTTGATTTTAGTGAAATCCCCGTAAATTCTATGTTTGTTAATACCACATGTGAGTTATTATAACCATGCTATGACCTAGTTGGCCTGAAACGGCGTTCTTCAGGCGTCGGAAATGTTATGACATTTGTCACCCCAGACCTGTCGGTCTAGCTGTTGCATGCAGCTAAGGTGTGGGTTTGTCAAACCCAATATAGATCTATACACAAGTATCACGCTCTCCCTCGAGGAGACTCTGGTTATAATACATGACTTATTTGTAAATTGAATCGAATGTCTCACAGAAGTCATTAACGAATTTACGTGTAGTATAATGAAAACTTGGTACCGTATGGCCGTACCTTGCTTAATGAAAATATCATTTGTATAAATGTACCTTTTTAAATGTATGTGTTATGTAATGTTTCATAAAGTCATTAACGGAATTACGTGTTATGAAAACTTGGTACCGTATGACCGTACCTTGCTTAATGAAAATATCCTTTGTATAAATGTACCCTTTTTAAATGTATGTATTATGTAATGTATCATAAACTATACCTATTATAGTTTATCAACCAAGGGTAGTACGTAGTAATGTATGCAAACTATATTCAAAATAGTTTATTAAATGTTTGAATGTATCGGTTGTACTTTGATTATAATCACTTGTTATTCTTTATATTTTATATGTCCAAATCCATTTGTAAACTGATGTGTGTCTAAATATTAAGATAAAATGTCATATATTGCAATAACATATAATCACATAAAGATATACACCTTGCTCAACATGTTACAAGGTGAAATGAATTGACAGCAACTTTTTGTTGTATACAGTTTCTGTTACTGTTCTTAGAAAATTTATAGAAAAATCATCAAAGCTCTAAATCCAAATCCACAAATTCTGAGAGTTTGGAATATGAGTCTAGTTTGTTCGTAAATTTTATCATGATTTTTAGTGATCTCTAACAGAGGTGAAAATGTTCATAATCACAGACTGGTCCGGGTTTGCTTCTGAAATGATAGGCAGTTTTGTAAAAATCACCATAAATTGTAGAAAAATCATATGGAGATGTGCAAGTAGCCATTTTAAAGCTAAGAGTTTGAACTACTTGCACCTGGAACAGTTTTGAAAACTAAAATATTTAAGTTGACCAAAACAGTCCGTGATCGAAGTTCATCTTTTCTGATGTAATCTGATAGAAAAAGTTTAATTGTGTTCTTGATGATTTTACTTGTATTCCCCCCTTAAAACTTAAGAAAACATGTAAATGTAGGGGTATGAACTCACCTTATGTGATTTCAGTAGATGAAAGTGAGATAGAGGAAGTGTTCAACCCAAGAACACTAAGAAGATGTCTTGATGATTCGAGAATCTAACACCGAATAAGATGGAATTTGTGTAAGATATCAATGATTTGAGTAGAATGGAGTTTAATAATTATGTGAATGATAAAGATACTTACTAATTGAAGAAAGAAATCCCTGGAGAAAGCCTTGAAGTTCTTGAAGTTGAGAGAAAAGATGAGAGAATTTTGGAGAGTGTTCTTGGTTGCTAAGTGTAGAATGAAAGGGCTTTTTAAGGAGAATGAGGAGAGAGGACCAATCCTCCAGCTCTTAGAACGTGGGAAGAGCTGGAGATAGGGTGTAAAGGTCCACTAAGGTGACAAGGAGTAGTGGGAAAGAGTGGCTGATCATAGAGTGAGGTGGTGGTGGCTTGCTTTTGTCATAAAATAAGGAAAAGCAAATATTCCCTCAATAATTAGTCCAACCACCAATTCTTTTAATACATTTTTATAAAAACCCTAGAGATTTATATATTTTGGGGCCTTAGTTTATAAAATAAAGTTTTGGGTGAAAATTCCACGTTAAAATAATGAAAAACGGAGTTAAAACGAAGTCGTAGTCGAAAAACCGGTAAAAAGGGGCCGTCTGCGAGACCTCTCGCATGGAGGCCGGATTCGGACCCTCGCATGCGAGGCTGCTGTCTGATGGCTTCGGATTCGGTCTCCTGAGAGGCTTCAGCTTCGGTCCTGATGAGAGGCTTCGGATCCGAGGCCTCGGATGAGAGGCTTCGGTCCTGAAGCTTCAGTTCCAGGTCCTTAAGGCTATTTTACCCGTTTTTACCCCGTTTCAAGCGATTTTTGACCCGGTTAAGGGTCGATATGACCCAAATGATTACAAAAAGTTAAAGTAACTTTTGAGAGAGATTTCAAATAGAAAGAGATAGAGTGAAAACGATTTAGAGAGGTTTCGTTTGTGATTAATTTGAGTGTCCGGCTTCACAACGCAAGGTTCGTAAACCCCGTTAACCCGTGTTTTAGTGTCGTACACACTCCCAATGAGTGTGCAATAATGTTTTATCGTTTTGGTTCAAATGTTTACTTAGGAAATTCAACACACGAACTTTCCAAATGATGTTTCTCTCATTAAGATATTGCATTGTACAGTAATTACATAGTGTAAACCCTAATATACAAGGGTTAATTGAGTCGATTGGTTTTGACTTGTTGACTTTGTTTGACTTTGACTTGACTCAATTTTGACGGTTGTCACAATGTCCCAACCAATATGTTAAAAAAGTTAAATATTTGACGTTTTGCAACCATAACTTGAAGGGATTTTTTTGGTAATGCTTCTAACTTGGTTCTATTTTATGTAGATAAATGTAAATATAGAATGTTGGGATCGGTGAGTAAAGTTACTAATAGATGGAGGACTAGATGTGGAAGCAACTTGTACCGGGGCTAAAAGTGCTAAATTGGAAGTTGTATGGACTAAAGTGCAAAAGTTGTGAATATATAAGCAGAAATAGAGAGACAGAGAGACATCACCATCATTCTCGTTACAAAACCCTAGTTCTCTCGTCTTTGTGTGTTTGTTTTTTAGTCGACAATCATATTCAAAAGTTTTAAGGCTGGAGGGAGTGGTCTCATACTTCCTCA